AAATAATAATACAGGGCAGTATGGTGAACAAAAAACACTAACTAGAAGAAACATCACAAGGCTAGTAATACTACCAACTTAGATTATTCCGGACAAGACAGTATTACTTTTGGGCAAGTTTGAAAAGATGGGATGGTGTTAATGGAAACATGGGTGGAGTAGAAGGGATAGAATTATATAAGAGAGAAACTACCGGATGGATATGTATGCAGGATGCAGGCCGCAAAAAAGAGTAACAAAAAAGGAAAGACAATGGGGGGAACGGTGATGGGTATTAAAAGGGATTTGTATGAGGGGGAGGGGGAGAAGAAAGAAATAAAGGGGATGATGATGGATAGACTGAAAATAGGTAGAAATAGGGTGTTGGGGATATATGTGAATATGAATATGGAAAGAAAGTTGGAAAATCTAGCGAAATGGATGGAGGGAAAAGAAGAGGGTGTAAAAACAGGAAGGGATTTTAATGCGAGAACAGGGAGAGAAGGAGGAAGAATAAGGGAAGAAAATGAGGGAAAGAAGGAAGAAGAAAGGAGATCAGTGGACAGAAAGAAAAACAAAGAAGTAAGTTAGTAAAATTTATTAAGAGAGAAGGGATGGTCAATTTTAAATGGGAATGTAAAAGGAGATGAGAAAGAAAATTGGACATATACAGGCGGAAGGGGGGACTCAGTGATTGATTATATATTGATGGATAAGGAGATGAGAGAGGAGATATATTATATGAAAATAGAGGATGCAATAGATTCGGACCATCATCCATTGATAGTCACACTGAAGGGAGGTAGGGATAGGAGAAGAGGAGAGGGAAGGGGAGGGAAAGAAGCATGTAGAGGAGTATGGGATGAGGGGGAAAGGGAGGTATTCAGAGATCTCTCTGAATACCTCCCTTGTTGTTAGGAAGAATAGAATAGAAGGAAGGGAATGGTTAGGAGGGCCGGAAGGAAGTAGAAGGGAGAATAAGAGATGTATTGGAAATCATAGAAAAAGAGAGAGGAGAAGAAAGGAAGAGAAGGGGATGG